TTTGTTCAAATGAAGCCTACCCTGACTGACACCTTACTGAAAATTACAACCCACTTTTCTTCTTACCCTGCTCTACATGTCCCCCGATCTCCTTGTACTATATATTTTACTTTTTATTATGATTATTGAGTCTCCCCTCAATTAGGCAACAAAACTCAGTGACAGAAAGCATTTTTTTGTTTGTTTGTTTGTTTGTTTTGGTACGTGCCCCTAGCAGGAACCAAACCCAGGACTCTCTGGTCCGCAGGCCAACACTCCAACCGCTGAGCCAAACTGGCCAGGGTGCATTTTTGTTTTTTATTCACTGACATATCTCAAGTAGGTGCTCAAATATTTTTGTCATCATGATCGGGCATAATCCCATTACTTTATAGGTAAGGATAACCGAAGATAACTGGATCAAGGCCACCCAGTAAGTAAGGAAAAGAGCCAGAAAGAGAGACTGTGAGTCCCAGTTCAGAGCCATTTCTACTATAGCTCACCATCTCCCTGACCCTTGAGCATTACAGAAAAATTACAACCATCCACAATCTTCCCCCAGGAGGATTTACCTTTGGAATTTCTTGGCTTTGCAAATGCTGCTGTGTCTGTAACACAGAAATGCTCTGAAAGGTGGTGGAAGCCTGTACTGGGGTCCTAAGTGTTGATATGTAAACAGAAGAAGACAGTGGATTTGGCCCTGGCTGGTTTGGCTCAGCGGTTAGAGCGTCGGCCTGCGGTACGGAGACAGTGGATTTGGAAGGGCTATCTCAGCACTTTGATAGAGGGTCTGCTGTTATAATTGTGTTTCTGATGACCCAAAAACAAGTGCTAAGCTAGAATATGGCTGCCACTGTGGCTGGACAGGAGAATGGTGCTGAATACATGCTGGCTGGTGCTGTGCTAGGTTTTTCTGTAGAGGAACAGTTTGACTGCTGTCTAATACCTGAAGCATTTGAGGCTGCTCTAAAGGTTGTCTTATATATTACTGCATTGCTGCTGGTTGCAACTGTCCTGGCAAAGAAGGTATAACCTAGACCATATTTGTAATGGCCTTTGGAATACCTGGTAATGGCTGAACTTGGTTAGGTGCCTGTGCATGAGGTACCTGCTGCAGGAAAACAGCACACTGGCTAAGCAGAGAATGCTGTTGATTTACGTGACCTCCTTGAGGAGACGACTGATGGCTTTTCTGTTTGTCTATGAGATGAATGAATTATCTGCTGATGCTGAATGAAAGCTGAGTGAGAAACCTGGCTTGGTGTTAGATGTGACTCAGAAAGCTGTGCAGTAGAGAAGTACGGGGCTGGATCTAGGCCTGTGAGGAAGCCTGGTGATGAAGGACATCTGCGCAGGGTGTTGAAACTGTCCATCCACAGCCCTCTGAGCTGCAATGCTAGTTACTGGGCTTTCAGCTGCTGGTGTCCAAAATTGACATCTACTTGGGATGGAGCTTCTAAATGCTGGACATTAATTAAAGGCTCAGTACAATGTGTCTGGGTATCTAAGGTTGATGTTAAATATGTCTTTTGTTGAAGAGTTATTATCTTGAAGTTGTGTTAAATAGGCTTGTTCAGATCTGTGCTACATAAGGTGGTACTGAGTATAACTTCTGATCTGCAGTTTGTAATATGTACTTTCTTGCTATTAGACAGGTTTACAGTGTATATGTGCCAGGTTATGAAGGTTGCCTGTTCAGCTGTCTGAATAGTGTAAACAGTTTGTCCTGAATAAGAGGCATGCTCAAGAGACAGTGCCTGGTAAACGGGCTGGTCCATAGGTTGCACAGGGTAAGCTACTTGAATCCAATATTCTGCCTGGTCTGGAAAAGGTGACTGAACCAGAGGTTGGATTGGATAAGCAGGCTGCCCTTGGGCTGGAGCTCAATAAGAGGGCTATACCAGTGGGTGGGACTGGATAAGAAGTCTGCATAGAATGAGGTGGCTGTGATCCCAGTAGTTATACAGTGTCGAGAGGATGCTCGGGGGCTGTCAGTGCTGGAGCCTGGATTGGGCAAGTTGATTGTGATGGGTAACAAGCTTGTTCTCAGGATGTACCACAAAGAGCAGCTGTTCAGGAACCTTCAATGGGAAGAATAGAAGTTCTGTAGATGGTCCTGGATCAGTGTGTTGAACAAAATAAGATGGGGCTAAATCACACTTTCAATACCACCCTTTGGCCGCCACTGACTTGCATGAGCTTCAGAATCTTGCAGAATATAATCCTGTTGAACATTTTTCTGTGGTGATGTCATAATCTTAGGCTGAAAAATTAATGGCTGCTGCTGAATACATGCTTGGAAACAAAGCTTCTTCAAATGCATAGTCTGACTTTGTGGCACTGAAGAACCTGGAGTTACAGACTCCTGATATGCCACTGGGTAAGGCTGGGATACTGAGTGAATCTTTTGTGAAGGTTGATGGGCCTCTGAATAGCCTTCAATGGAACCAGAAGGGAATTATGCTACACCAGAGCATTCTGTGTTCTGCTCACATATTGAGCAGAAGAAATGATTTGACAAAGCTTGAGGATGATTAACCAGTAAGAAACTAGAAGCCTGATTGGATTTGGTGATTTGGTTAATGCCTGATTCCCATTTCTAGGACCAGGCTCAAGTTGAAGACCAACTGTTGGATGGTGGAAAGTAACATATGAAGCAGGCAATGTATGAGGATAAACTGTAGAAATGACTGGTTGTGGAACTCCACTAACTGGCAAGTCTAAAGTTATAGGTTGTGATGAAGTTTGTCTATCTGCTCCAAAGCTCAGCTGTAGTTCCTGGTGCTGGTACAAGGAAAATTTAATATATAAATCCATATAACAAGCCCATTTTAATGGGACTGTCCCAGATAGAGGAAATAATGCTATGTTCCAAAAATTTCATCAAGTTACCAAAATGTGCTGGGTATAACAGTAATCCTATAAAAATCCTAATACCATGAATAAAAGCTAGTTGAATACACTAAGGGTCTGAGACCAGTCCCAGCAATATACTGCTCATGATTTCTCATTTACTGCAATTGCCACATCACTCATTCAAAACCTGGCTGAGCCAGGCCAGTGTGGTTCAGTGATTGAGCGTTGACCCAGGCACCAAGAGGTCTCCGGTTCCATTCCTGATCAGGGTACATGCCCAGGTTGTGGGCCCGATCCCCAGTGTGGGGTGTGCAGGAGGCGGCCAATCAATGTTCTCTCTCATCGATGTTTCTATCTCTCTCCCTCTCCCTTCCTCTCTCTATAGTTTGGCTCAGCGGTTGGAGCGTTGGCCTGCGGTCCGGAGAGACCCGGGTTCGGTTCCCGCTAAGGGCGCGTGCTTCGGTTGCAGTTTGTCCCCGGCCCTGGTTGGTCGTGCGGGTGGCAGCCACTCGATGTGTCCCTTTCACGTCGATGTTTCTCTCTCTCTCTCTCTCCCTCCCACTCTATCTGTTAAAAAAAAAAAATCAATAAAAGAAAAAAAAATAAACCTAGCTGAGATTCAGAGTAACTGAATCTGACACTACATGGTAGAAATTCCAAGAAAAGGCTCAAAAGGATTTAAATATCATAGCTAAAATGAACATAGTAGCTTTCTCAAGGGGAGAAGAGAGAGTTGGCTGAATAAATATAGGTTAGCTACAATAATTTCTAGAACTTCAACCACTACACTAATAAAAATATCCCAATGGTCAAAGTGCTTCCTTATGTGGCTTCTATATATTAGGTAAAAAGGGCAGGCTGCAGAATGGTATGTATGTAATTAACAAAATTATGTATGTATACATAGAAAATGATAAATCTAGAGGCTCTACCCCTAAAATATAAAAAATAAATAGTCTCTAGCTGCAGGGATAGGTGATTTTTACTGTCTTCTTTATAGCTTTATGAGCTTTATTTTTAAATAGGTAAATAACACTGTTATAATAATTTTAGAACTTTTAAAAAATTTTGGAAATATATTTTAAAACACATACCTATATACTTAAGTGGTTGACCCTAGGTTAATTTAAAGATCCACTAAGCAGGCTTCACATTATAGTCTTAGAGACAAATCAAACCACAGCATGAGCTCAATTACAAATATGTACCATATAACCTACAAACACTAGCCAAATACTAGGCACTGCCAACTCTATCAGAGTAAGTGTACCCCTGGCAGACTTTAAATGCATCAGGAATTTGTCAAGTACATGTATGCTCTCCCCTACAAGACTATGAGCTCCTTGAGGGCAAGGACCATACTTTATTTTTAAAATTTTATTTTACAGCCCCAGAGATGTTAGTCATTAAAAGTTTACTGATGAACTGTGACAGACTATATATGAATCTCTCAGAAGAAACAGATGAACCAGCTGCTAACGTAATCATATACTGGTTAGGAGCTCAGATCATCTCATTCCCCAAAATATAAGGCACATGCAGGGGATGGTGAAGTTGAGGAAAGAAAATGAAGTGATGGAAAGCCCAACCAACTGTCCAGGGCCCATAACCTAGGGAAGCAGGATATAGTCTTGATATGTGAACTCTCACGAAGACTGTTTACTCATTGCCAGAAATGAATAATGCTAATTTTGAGAGTCTAAACACTTACTTCTACAGAAAAAAACATGAATCAAAAAAGTAAAAAATTTAGATGAAAGTGCTAAAAATCATAAAAGGCTATTAAGAACACTATTTTTAATCTATAAAAGAAAAGACATCCTTCAACCACATTCAAACCAGGCTGGAGAAATCCAATACAAAGAACAAACCATCATTACCAAGGGAAAGTGATCCAAGTCCTATATACATTTTTATCAATATACAGAGTTCACAGATTCTTTTCCAATTATACAAGCAGTGTCTCAAGACTCTAGTTACACAATGATAGTTTAAGTACATTCTCAAGAAGAGTGTCTTAGGTGAAGGAAAGTAGAAACTTTTAGCTTTCAGTGACTTTTATATAAACTAGGATGAATTTATGAAAGAGATAGCCTATGCCTGTCAGAAAATCTAGGTAGTGTTAGATATGTTTAACTGAACAGAGCCTTTAAAATGTATATTACCTTTATCTGTGAGACCTTCTGGACAGTTACTGGAGACTCCAGGGGTTGTGAGACAACTGGAGGTCCAAGGACATGTATAGGCAAAACAGTAGACTGACCTTGAGCCAAAGGCAAAATTTGGGGCTGAGTCAACTTTAGCTGCTTCTGTAACAGTTAAATAAGAAAGAAAAAAAGATTAAAGACAAACCCTCCCATTTACAGTAAATATATTGATTATATATTTAAAAATATAACAGTTCATCTCACCCCTGAAATCTGCTGATAATGTCCTACTAGCTGTTGGGGTGGATAAATTTTCCCTGGAACATTTATTTCAGCCTGTGGGATGTTAGAAACCATTTGAGAGCCCATCATCTTGTCTGAGGAATAGGCTGTACTGGGCTGACTTGTATCTGAGTGTATAACTGATCCAGCTCCTGCCTCAGACAAATTGTCACCTATGACAAAGAAAATAAGCAACAGGTAGAAGTGAAAACTTGAAGCACCAGGTCCAAATGGCATAGAAATGGTAAGTGTTTCTTTAGTTTTTTTTTTCACACTGACAACCTGCGACATCTTCAAATAAAATATGTACAAAGAAGAATTAACAACAACAAAAAAACTATCAATGTAAACTCTATGCTGACACGGTAGTATAACAAATTTTCTTAGCAAAAACTAAAACAAGGAATCACATAAAAGTCAACTCCATTTGCTTGGCCATTTCACATATATCCCTAACTAATCTATACTTGTCCTTAGGATTTCAGTAAAATCTAAATACCATATTTTTTCTCATTCTCCTAGAACTTGGCTAGAGAATAATACTGTCTTTGCACAGCAATTAGTCATTACTATGAAAATACTGTGTCCTTCTAGAGAAGAGAATGCATTACAATAGAAAAATTAGAGGAAATTTGTTAGTTTTATACTTAAGTCCAAAATACAAAGGAAGGGTCTTAAAGTCTAGAAAATGCTCAAACAACAAGTGCTGGCAAGGGTGTGGAGAAAAGGGGACTCTAGTACACTGCTGGTGGGAATACAGACTGGTATAGCCACTATGGAAAACAATATGGTGTTACCTCAAAAAATTAAAAAGTGAACTTCCATTTGACCCAGTGATCACACTTCTAGGAATATACCCTAAGAAGCCTGAAACAACAATCAGAAAGAATATATGTACCCCCATGTTTGTAGCAGCACTATTTACAATAGCTAAGATCTGGAAACAGCCCAAGTGCCCATCAGTAGATGAGTGGATAAAAAAGCTGTTGCACATATATACAATAGAATACTATGCAGCTGTAAGGAAGAAAGATCTATTACCCTTTGACACCACATGGAGGGACCTGGAAAGTATTATGCTAAGTGAAATAAGCCAATCAGAAAAAGACAAGTATCACATGATCTCACTTATTTGTAGAATATAATGAACAAAATAAGCTGATGAAGAAAATAGACCCAGAGACATGAAAGTAGGGAACAGACTGATAAACCGCAGAGGGTGGGGGCATGGGAGGGTGGGAAGAGAGAAACCAAAGAACGTATATGCATACATGCATAACCAATGGAGACAGACAACAATACTGTGTGTGTGGGGAAAACGGGGAGGAGGATGTCAATGGGGGAAAAAGGAGGAACATTGGTAACAAAGAAAGAGTCTAGAAAATTCCTCCTTAAAGACTGAATCATATCTTTAGTTCTTAATTTTTTTATTAATTTATTTTAGACCCTTAAAATGGTAAAAAGGTTATAATCCTTATGCCATTAGTACTTTGGACAAGTCACTTAACAGAACAATTTCTTAATTTTAAAATAAAACTAGCTGGCTTATCTATTTCAGGGATTTTGTAAAAGGACTGATAAAATGATAGATAAAAGAATGCTTTGAAAAAATACAAAAGTATTATTTAAAGATAAGGGAATATAACTACATATTTGTTTACTTTTATTTATTTATTTTTAATTTTTACTGATTTTTTTTTTAAGGAAAAGAGGGAGAAAGAAACATTGATGTGAGAGCAGAACATCGTTTGGTTGCCTCCTGCACAACCCCTACCAGGGATTGAGCCCGCAACCCAGGTATATGCCCTGACCTGGAATCAAGCCAGCAACCTTTCTGTGCATGAGATGACACCCAAACAACCGAGCCACACCGGCCAGGGTTTGTCTGCTTTTCTGAATTGTAACTGTGTTACCTATAACAGAGGAGCAGTGCTGCTGTGGTTTTCTTTGCAGAAGCTGTTGTCGAACTTGTTGATCAACTTCAGTTTCTTCACACTCAGCCATGGCGTGCTGAGCAGGAGCAGGGGGCAAAGTTGTATTCTGAGGCTGAAGGAGAACATTGCCCACAGACTTGCACTGCGAATCCCTGCGTTCTTCCAAACAGCCAGCCGGCTTCTTCTCTCTTGTCTTCTTTATCAGGGTCACCCGGTCTCTAATGGACTTAGCAACAGCTTTGGAATCACTTTCATGAAAAAATCCTGACTTGACCTACAAACAAAACATAATAAGCAAACTACATCTTTAACATTTAAGATTTTAACCCCCCCCTTCTTTTTTTTTTAATCCTCACCCGAGGACATTTTTTGTTCAGATAGAGCGGGACGGAGAGAGAGGAAGAGAGAGAGAGAGAGAAACATCGATGTGAAGGGACACATGGAGTGGCTGCCTCCCGCACGACCAACCAGGGCCGGGGACAAACTGCAACCGAGGTACGTGCCCTTAGTGGGAACCGAACCCGGGTCTCTCTACCACAGGCCGACGCTCCAACTGCTGAGCCAAACCGGCCAGGGCCTCCCTTTTTTTTTTTACTTAACCTTTTCTTTTTTAAACTAGTGGAGTTATTTTTGTGCCCCAAATTTCCAAATGCTATTAAATAGCAGTTAGTCTCTATGTTCTTTCTTAGTTAGACATACATAAATGTCAGAACCTTTATTCAGCATAAGAAAAACAATAGTATCACCAAGAATTGTTAAAATAACTCTGGCCTTAAACCAAACAAGCAAATAATTTGATGTTTCAGTATGTGCAGTCTTATTACAGGTCATTTATGACTGCCATTAATTTTTGTGACATTAAAAAGGTTTCTTCATTCAGCACCACTGAATGCCTACAATGGGTTCCAGAGACATATAGGTGACTAAGTTAACCCTTTGCCCTATATGAGCACACATCCTGGTTGGGAGGGACAGAGACAAACTTAACTGAAAATGAAATAAGAAGTAGAAACAAGCTGTCACAAAAGCCCCTAGAGGAGCATGTGCCTCCTAGAAGAAGTAGAGAAAGTGTCACAGAGGAAAGTAAACTCAGACTTGGATTAAAACCCAGAAAAGGAACTTGCAGGCTATTGAGTGGAGATGAAGTTTTGAGATCAACTCTCTAGGTAGAGGGAAGTATGCTAATAACAAAGTACTACAGCTTATTCGGCATCAGAGAAGTGAGAAGAGAAGGTAAGGACTTGTCTGAGAGGAACAGGGCTGAGTCACAGAAAAGACTGGAGGAGGTGCCAGGGCCTATCATTCCCAGTCCTACAATCTGCTTTGTAAAGCATGTCTTGGGGGGTCTGCAGACTTAGGGAAACTTCACGGTAGTTGAAAGATAATTAAAATATTAATTAATTAGAGTCCATATATTTAATTTCACTCCCTTTGAAAGCTAAAAAAAAACCCCATAGTAAATGGCTTTGTAAGTTATAAATCCATAAGGACAGGGAGAATAAGAGAAAGACAACAGTTAAATATTTTGGACTCTTTTGAATACGGAAAACAAATAGATAAGTATTAACTGACCTAGCTGACTTGAAAAAGGTGAACTAGGGAAAGCTGAAGCTCATTGCCATTTATGCTGAATAATACTCATAAGGCGCAGGGACCGGTAGTACCCCAGGTACTTCTAAAACTGGGTAAAGTCAAAAGAGATGATTAAAATAAAGAGGACACCCGGCCAGTGTGGCTCAGTGGTTGAGCATCGACCCATGCACCAAGAGGTCACCGGTCCCATTCCCAGTCAGGGCACATGCCCAGGTTGTGGGCCCCATCCCCAGTGGGGAGCATGCAGGAGGGGGCCAATCGATGTTCTCTCTCATCAATGTTTCTATCTCTCTCTCCCTCTCCCTTCCTCTCTCTCTAAAACCAATAAAGAAAAAAAATTTTTTTTTTTTAAGGAAGACTATGTTAAAGAGTTTTGAGAAGCAGATATTTAGGTCCTTGTGCCCCACCCTCCATTCCACACCTTTTAGTGATTGTTTCTCCTCTAATGGAGAAGACTAAAGTTTAGTTCTCTGGAGAGGGTAAAAGAGGATCTCTGGACTATGGAACACGAGGCACAGCTGAGGATATGGCTACCAAGTGGAAAACAAAGGTCAAATGACTGCATGCATGCTGAATGCCATATGCAGAAACTCCCACTTGGCTACCAAAATACCAGTAACCAGACCCTTACCCTCCAGGAAGTACATTGAAAGATGCTTCTCTAGGGATCTGGTCAATACAAGAAGAAAGACCTACAAATACTGATGTCAGAGATTCCCCAATTAATGGCCCACCCAGATACCCTACAGTAGACGTCAAAGTTAATAAGTCTGACAGAAGCAATCATATAGTCCAATAGGCTTGTTAGTCCCTGTGGTAGAAAAAATTATGGCCCCTGGAAGATGTCCCATCCTAATCCTCAAACCTGTGAATACGATGAGATATCACTGCTATGCACAGCTGATATTAAGGTAGGTAAGCCTTTTACCAACTGGTGACACTGGAAGGATACAGCATGCCATTGCTAACTTTGAAGATGAAGTGGGGACCTGTGAAAGGACTGAAGAACAGCCTCTAAGAGCTGAAAGTGGCCCCTGGCTAACAGTCAGCAAGGAAATGGAGACCTTAATCTTACAGCGGCATGGAAATACATTTTCTGCCAACAACCTGGATAAGTCCGAAAGCAGATTCTTCCCCATAGCCTCCAGATGAGAGCCTAGGCAGCCAACACCTTGATTTCAGCCTGTGAAACTCCAAACAGATAATAATCCAGCAAGCCCACCAGGACTTCTGATAATAAACGAGTGTCATCTTAAGCTACTAAGTTTGTAATAATTTGTCACAAAGCAGTAAAAAACAAATACACTCTCCCACTATTAATCATGAACAGCTGGCCAAGAATAACCAGAAATATGAGAAAAGCCTCTAACAAGAAGATGGAGCATAAAACTAACAAAGGAAAAAACAAGTTGGAGAAAAGAGACTACGTAGGGAGAAAAAAAATGTCAAAAGCACTCCCTTTACTAACATTACAGAAAGATGTGATAATATTGCATCAGCAAAACAAGGAACAGGATTTTTGTACTCTAAAAAAGAAACAGAACAAAATATAAAAGAACTCTTGAAATTAAAAACATGATAGCAGAAATGAAAAACTCAACGGATAAAGTTGATAATATCTGCCAGAAAGAAAAATAAAAAGACAAAAAGATGGAAAATAGAAAAGATAAGAAAATTGGAGAAACAGTTCAACAGGTCCAACATCCAAATAATAACAGTTCCAGAAAGAGAAAACAAGGGGGAAAATATCATCAATAAAACACTTCAAGAAATATCCCATATTAAAGGGCCCAGAGTATCCAATGTAGTAAGTGATAAAAATAGACTCAAATCAAGACATAGCAATGTGAAATTTTAGAATACTGAGAAGAAAAAGAAGACATTACAAGCTTCCACAGAGAGAAAAGTGGATCACATGTAAAAGATCCAGAAAACAGAACAACTTTATTTACACTTTACAATATCAATACTGAAAGGTAAAAATGCTTGGAGCAATGACTCCAATTTTTTTAGTTGCCAACCTAAAATGCCTTAGCTAGCAGAATAATCAGTTAAATATGAAAATAAAATAAAGACACTTTTTATACATGCAGGTCTCAAAGAATTATCTCCCACGTACCTTTTCTTAAGAAGCTAACAGAGGATAAGAAAAACAAAACAGATTGCAAATCCTTTTTTTAATGCCTAAACTACATACCAAATTTTTGGTCCATGTATTTCTGTAAGTATAGTTATGTTGAAATAAAGTTTTAAAATGCAAAAAATCAAAACCAAACCAAACAAAAAACAGCTAACAGAGGAAGTATGACAGTAAAACAAAACAGTAAGCCAAGAAAGAGCAAGATGAGATTTAGGAACCATGAAATCTAATATAGGAGAGAGGCAGAGAGGTCTATGAAGACAGTAAAGGGAAATACCAGGATGAGAGTTGTACACCAGATGTCCAAGGCAATCATTCCAGATTAGAACAGTGTCACTAGAAAAACAGATGTGTTAAAGGCTTTCATCTCCAAGATCCCCACTACCGCGGTCCCATTCTTATTCTTAACCTGAGGACAGGATGCCCAGGTGAGCCTGCCTTTTAGTGCCTGTCCTTGGCTAACCTTGACCACGTGCTGCCGAAGCTCCTGCTAGCCCTCCCTCCAAGCACTGCAGCAGCCTGGATCGGGGGTGGACACGCATCCACCCCACAGAAGTTACCTGCTGTCATCTACTCTTGGGGGCAAAGGGGGTATGGGGAGATTACAAGTAGATAGAGAGACCCACTTTCTGTCAAACCATATTGTAACCAGACAACTCATTTCTAGTCCACACAACAGCTCCACCGGTGCACTGACTGTGGATTCACGCGTGACTCACCCACTGACTTCCCCAGAAGCAGCTCTTGTAAACCCTTCGGGAAGCTAAACCAGACTATGACTGAGAGACTGTTCAGCTCATCCTCTCCTGGGCATCTTCACCTGAGAGTAATTTCAGTAACCAGCAGGGTGTGTGCTTGCCACTCAGCTTTTCAAAACAAAACCATATATTACTTCAATAAACTATAATGAAAAGCAAAGGAATGAAGAACACAAAAGTCAGAATAGATACTGCCTATGGTGATGCAGAAGGGGAATGCAACTGGGAGGAGCACACAGGTGGTTTCGAAGATACCAGTCGTGTTCTGTTCTGTATTGTCAGTCTTCATACTCAACATATAAATTTAATATACCCTGCTGTAGAGATACATTTCATAGTAAAATATCAATTTAAATAGAGAAAAGGAGAAAATGAGAAGAAAGAAAGCAATGAGAAAGAGAAAGGAAATCAATCCTGCTACCATAAGGGGTTAGGGAAATAGCAGTAGAATTCACTTACCATTTCATATGCTACTTCTTCAGGTGTATCTGTTTCTAAATTGAAACTGAATTCAATAGCTTCATTGTCTTTGTGCTTGCCTTTCAATTTCTTAGGGTCTTCAACCCAAAGTCTTAAAGCCAGGGATGAATTTGAGCAATCATCTTCCTCTGCTAACTCCACCCTCAGTCCTGTATCCTCAGCAAAAAATGCGTGGTTTAGTAGGTTCTTGATAGACAACCTAATAAACAAAATACATATCTCATTATCAATTTTTCCAATTATAAGCAAGGTATAGAACCTTTATAATTAATTGTATCAGAGTAACAATCTATTTTAAATTTTCTATTAATTAAACCATTAATCTGCCATGTCAAAAAATATTATTCCTAACTCATTATTACCAAGAATGCAAAAAAAAAAAAAAATCCTACTAACATGCATTTATAGTGACCTTAATTAAAGATTATTACTAGTAACATATCTAGATACTGAAGTTTAACATACCTAAAAGTATGCCTAAAGACAGCTGGAGCAGTGCTGTAGTACATGTTATGTGAATTAAGTAGTTTTCCTAAACCACTGGATTAAATTACTAACACTCAGATTCTCTGCAAAAGAAATGAAAAACTCTTCCAGATATATAAACTCTAAAGTAAATTAGAAGATCAAACTCTTTACAAAAGTTATAAATAGAACTTGTAGACTTCATTAGCAATAATCTATTCAGCATACGTCATTCCTTAGAGAATGCCATGGGTGAAGCTAATTTATAATTTAGGTCAGCAAAGTTCCACGGTTTTCTTAAAACACATAAGTCTAGCCAGCTGGTTTGGCTCAGCAGTTAGAGCGTCGGCCAGCGGACCAGAGTCCGGGTTTGGTTCCCCTTAAGGGCACGGACCTCAGTTGCAGTTTGTCCCTGGCCCTGGTTGGGGGTTGAGGTTGTGTGAGTGGCAACCAGTCAATGTGTCTCTCTCACATTGATGTTTCTCTCTTCCTCTCTCTCTCCCTCCTGCTCTGAGGATAAATGCAAAAATGTCCTCGGGTGAGGATAGAAAAAAAAAATTAAAACACATAAGTCTAGTGTTTTAGGCCAAAGTATACATACAATGGATACAAGACTAGTCTAGCCCTGGCCGGTTAGAGCGTCGGCCTGAGGTCCAGAGAGACCTGGGTTCGATTCCCGCTAAGGGCACGTACCTCGGTTGCAGTTTGTCCCCGGCCCTGGTTGGTTGTGCGGGTGGCAGCCACACGATGTGTCCCTTTCACGTCCATGTTTCTCTCTCTCTTCCTCTCTTTCCCTCCCACTGTATCTGAACAAAAAATGGAAAAAATGTCCTCGGGTGAGGATAAAAATAAATAAATAAATAAATAAAAGGGAGTCATCTTCTTTAAAAAAAAAAACTAGCCTAATATCAGGGATTAACCATCTCTGAAAAGAAAAAAAAAGTACAGAGGTTTAAAGGATTCTTTTACAAACTGGGGCAGTTAATTTCCTTTCCTTTGACAAACTTCTAAAACAAATAGATAATATCTAATCTGTCTGTATTACAGGCCAGGGAGAACTAAAACTGATGTATTTTATAATGTCTACGTAAAAAGCCCTTCCTGTGCTATTTAAAACAGATAAAGCATATTGATAACACATTATCCTGTAAGTTAAGGATTTAAACCCCCTACATTTTTAGTGATCAAAAGACAAATACTTAACTAAGACAGTGTTATATAAAGAATAATCTTGCTCAGAGTAATTAGTTTTTTTTGTTTTTGTTTTTTTTAATCCTCACCCGAGGAGAGAGAGAGAGAGAGAGAGAAACATCAACGTGAAAGGGACACATCGAGTGGCTGACTCTCACACGACCCAACTAGGGCTGGGGACAAACTGCAACCGAGGTACATGCCCTTAGCGGACACCAAACCCACGTCTCTCTGGACCGCAGGCCAACGCTCTAACCGCTGAGCCAAACCGGCCAGGGCCAGAGTAATTATTTTTAAAAGGTGAGATGTGTTTAAGAAGGCACAACCAAGTTAAGCCCTCTGCCTTTCAATGAAAAATTTGCCTAAGTATTTTACTAAGGAATAATTAGAGCAAAAGCAGATGATACTATTCATTAAATACGTATTATTCTTTTAGGTAACTTATATGCATTCATTATCTTTTTAATCATCAAATATTACCTGTTTTGAGTAACAGTTAAGTAACTTGTTCAATGTCACATTGGTTAAGTGAATCCAGATTTGAATTTTAGTCGCACAATGAAGCCTGTGCTCTTTCCAATAAACTAATATACCATGAATCCTTTTGAATATTCCAGTGTTCTTTGGTCATAAATCGCAATTAAAATGCTATACCAACAACAATCAGAATCTAAACTAAATTGGCTACTTCAACATAGTATTTTTAGCCTTGCTTAAAAAAAGCATGCCTAACCTTCTACAAGGCAAAAAGAACAAAAACAAACAACCCAATTTAAAAGGGGGCAAAGGACTTGAATAGACATTTTCCAAAGATATGCAAATGGATAATAAACACAGGAAAATATACACATCATCGGCATTAGAAAAATGCAAATCAAAACCACAATGAGATACCACTTCACACCCATTAGGATAGCTATTACAAAAAAAAAAACAAAAAAAAAAAAAACAGAAAATAACAAGTGTTGATGAGGATGGTGAGAAATTGCAACCTTCCTAAAATGCTAGAGGGAATGCAAAATGGTGCAACCACTGTGGGAAAAGTTGGGTGGCTCTTAAAAAAATCAAACGTAGTATTACAATATGATCTTGTAATTCCACTCCTAGGTTTATACAAAAAAAAAATGGAAAGCAGGGATTCAAACAATACTTGTACAGCAATTTTCATGCAACATTATTCATAATTGATAAAAGTAGAAATAACCTAAGCGTCTGGCAGCAGAAAAATTAATAAATAAAATATGGTGTGTGTGTGTGTGTGTAATATTATTTAGCCTTAAAAAGGAAGGAAATTCTTGCCCTGGCTGGTTTGGCTCAGTGTTTAAAACATCAGCCCACAGACTAAAGAGTTGTGGGTTCAATTCCAGTCAAGGGCACATACCTGGGTTGCAGGTTTGATCCCTGGCCCCAGTTGGGGTTGTGTGGGAGGCAAACAATCAATGTTTCTCTCTCACATGGATGTTTCTCTCTCTCTCTCCCTGTCCCTCTCTTTCTCTCTCTGCCCCTCCCTCCCTTCCATTCTATCTACGAAAATCAATGGAAAAATATCCTCGGGTGAGGATAAAAAAAAAGGAAAGAAATTCTACATGCTGCAACATGGATCAACCTTGAAAACTATGGTAAGTGAAATAAGCCAGACACAAAAGGAGAAATATTGTATGATTCCACTTATATGAGGTACCTAGAATAAGTAAATTCATAGAAGTAGAGGATAGAATAGAGGTTACCAAGGGTTGTGGGAAAGAGGAAATGAGGAGTTGTTTAATGGAAACAATTTCTGCTTTGGATGATGAAAAGTTCTGGAAACAGTGGTGACAGTTGTACAATAATGTGAATGCACTTAATGCCACTGAATTGCAACACATAATGACTAAAATGGTAAATCTTATGTTATATAAATATTACCATAATGAAAACAAATATATACCTAGATATGACCTGTTGGTACAAACACTAAGAATGTTCTGTAATAAAACTACAATTAAACAGGCCTTACCTTACTTAGTAGCTTTATGTATTCTTAGATAAGCAACACAAAACTTAGATAAAAAAATAATAAAAACAGGGGACAGTCGATAAAATGCTATGGAAATAATTTCTATAAAGGAACTGACACCTTATTAACCATAATCAATTTAAGTCATCAACTGTACAACATATAAGCTAAAGCTAAAGGGAGTCGTCCGCAAGACACGAATTTTGATACATATAATTTAGAATACTAATTCTTGAACAAAAAAAGCCCTATCAACTTTACCATCATCATATAAGGACACATGGTCAAAAAAACAAAAACAAACAAAAAACAAAAAAACCTAGTGAGTTGATGGTTAATTTTTTTTAAACTATCATAAAAAAAAACATTTAAGTCCTTACCTGAAGGTGATACTGCAGAAGCTCTCTACTTAATCAACTGTCAAAAGCAAGTTAACATGTGGGAAGGGGACCCACCGACTTAAACTGATGCCTTAATGTGATGAAAGCTTGTCACAATACACACAAACACAACCCAAATGTTCCTTCAAGGTAAATTTAGCAGATGATATCAAAGTCTAAAATTGTAAACAATATGCACTTTACTAAAGACAGTGTGGTTTGGCTTCCACTCAAAAGTCATACCAAGCATGAGTCAAAGGTCAGAAAATAACCCAGTGTAAGGAAGAGAAAAAGGCACCCATAAGTTATATTATTTTACTACATTTGCACCTACCTTTCAGATTTGTTTTGACGAATACAGCCTTCGATGATTTCTTTCACTTCAGGATCAGTGACTTTATTGAAACTGGCTGGTTTTATGCCCTGGGAGAAGAAATGATTTCTAGTCACAAATTAAGAAATTGAAAGCCCAAATCAATATAAAATTTATTAAAATAATGATTTTTTTACCAGTAAACTATATTCAGGTTTTAAATGAGATAAATATATACATACAGTATAAGTTTAACGTCTTTAAACAAAGATTTTTATCATAGTTCTACTGATAACAGTGAAATTGTAAATCTTAAATCAACGAGCCAAAATTACACGTTAGGCAACATATATGTGCTAAGAGTATATTGAAATTTTAAAGTTCTCAAAGTAATTAATAACATGGAGAATTCTCATATAGCAACATTAAGTAGGGAAAAAATATCCCAAAATGTACATACAGTATAACCCCAAATAGAAAAATATAATAAGTATTCTTTGAAATCAGAAAAAAGAAAATCAATGTTATTAAAAAACATTTTTGGCCCAGCTGGTGTGGCTCAGTGGTTGAGTGTAGACCCATGCACCAAGAGGTCACCAGTTCGATTCCCAGTCAGGGCACATGCCTGGGTTATGGGCTCAATCCCCAGTTGGGGGGCATGCAGGAGTTGGCCAGTCAATGTTCTCTCTCATTGATGTTTCTACCTCTCTCTCCCTCTCCCTTTAAAAGTCACTAAAGGGAAAAATTTTTTTTAACATTTCTGATGCCCAGCCAGTGTGGCTCAGTGGATTGAGCATCATTCCATGAACTGGGAGATCACAGTTCAATTTCAGGTCAGGACACATTCCCAGGTTGCAGGCTCAATCCCCAGTAGGGGGCATGCAGGAGGCAGCCATTCAATGTTTGTTTCTATCTCTCTCTCCCCCTTCCTCTCTCTCTCTAAAAAAAAAAAAATCAATTAAAAAAATACTTAAAAAACACTTTTGAAAATTCCTAAAAAGGGCTTCTCTATTGCAAATATTCCAAATCAATATTATTTCAAAGTCCTCTAGAATAGCTAGAAGCAATCAACAATCAAATTGACTTGTCAGAGAAACTAAATCACTTGTCCTATAGAATATCCCATATTCTGGACATTGGACTATTTCTTTTATTTTTTGAGGTTTTTTTTTTTTTTTTTTTAGCGAAGAAGGAAGAAGAGAGAGAAACATCGATATGAGAAACATCAATTGGTTCGTTGCGTCCCGCATACACCCTGACCTGGGAATGAAACCTGAAACCTGTGTATGTGCCCTGACCAGGAAGTGAACCTGCCACCTTTTGGTGTACAGGACATAGCTACAACCAACTGAGCCACACCAGCCAGGGTTGGCCTTATTTCTTATTGTCTCCCTACACAAACCTCTGGAGTCAGTCTTGGGGTCAAAATCTACCATTGGTAGTACCTGTGTGAACTTGGATAAGTCACAACCTCTGATTCTGTTTCATCATTTATAAACTGAAAATAGTATACAGCACACATTTAGGAACAGTATCTCTTAGCATTAGTTACCGGAAACACTCTAGCAATCTCTTTCCCAGCCTATCTTGAGCCACCCAGTTGGATAAGAAGTAGACCTCTTTTGAACAACCCTAACACTTTGCTTCTACCTCCATCACGTCCCTTAGAATACTCCCATCCTCTTATTTTTATAATTATTTGTGAATTTATATTACTGTCCTACTAAAAATGTAGGCTCTTTGTAGGTAGCAAACACTTATTCATCTTTGTATTCCTTGCAATTTTAAAAAATTTACGCATAGTAAGAATCAGATACTTTATCTGTTGAACCGTATTTTAAATGCCCTTTCATAATCAGGCTTTTAGAACGGAAAGAAATTTTCAAAACAATTTGGGCCAATCGTTATTGTTCAGCTTTGGAAAATGAGATCCACCTAATAAATATTTAAAAATTCTTTACAAACAAATGGATATAGATGATATATCTATGTTTTCCCAAAAATACTAATACAGAGCATTTGCTATGACCCCAATAGAGTATAGGTATGTAGCATGAATCTAAAGCTTTTCATTACAATTATATTTAATTTAGCACTGTTATACAGAACTAAACCAAAATTAGGTTTTACTAAATTGACTTAAACCAATTTCAACTGAAAATATGGCAATTTGTGAAATAAAAATAATAAAGTTATACCTACACTAGTTACTTTACGGTATATTTGAGCTGCATTTTGGCACTCTGAATAAGGGTACTCCGAAGTAGCCATTTCCAGCATACACATTCCAAAAGCATACACATCTACAGATTCATCATAGTGTTCTTCATACATCTCTGGGGCCATAAACTCAGGAGTCCCTACAAAATAACACCACAACCACATTTTTATTAAAGAGAAAATTTTATTCACAAAGATTACTTTCCTTTTCCCGTAAGGACTATCTGAGTTAATTTCTGCTCCCTAAAAGAAATGTATAAATAGAAAATTTATTGAATACTTGATGTATATACATAAAGCACTTAAAGAATGTCATTAACTTCCTGTACTATAAAGTACAATCTGTAATGGTCAAGATTAGAAATGATCACTAAAACTTGTTTTTATTTCTGTCCTTCTTAGTTATTGAAATTTTTCATAATTAAATTAGTAAATTCTTTCTTAAATTCTCAGAAACTTTCAATAATCTTAAATATATCCCACAAAAAAAATACACTAGGATGTCTCCAAAATAAGGCAATATATAAGATATTTCAAAGCAAATTCACATTCTAGGCCAGGGGTCAGCAAACTTCTCTGTAAATAGCCAGATGGTAAATATTTCAGGCTCTGCTATCCATATGGCCTCTGTCACAACTGCTCAACTTTGCCACTGTAGTTGAAGAGTATCCATAGACAATACACAAACAAGTGGGTATAGCTGTGTTCCAATAAATTTTTATTTACAAAAATAGACAGCTGGGCCAGGTTTAGCCCATGGGCTGTAGTTTGCTGCTCCCTATTCTAGACATATGCAATTAACAACGCTCTTTACCCAACCAATAAACTATGAAATGTTAATCACCAATGACACTCTTAGCAAATGATGTGCGCATTAAGGTAGCTAGGCCTAAATCACCAATCTTCACAGATCCAGTAGGTCCCGTGATGAAAATATTGTCACACTTCAGATCCCGGTGAATAATAGGAGGGGTCCTAGTGTGCAAGAACTGCAACCCCTTTAAAATTTGCCTGCACCAGCTCCTTAGGACCTTTGGTTTCATGACTTTAAATCGTTTTAAGTACCTATATAAAGAAACAAAAGACCACATGTTAATAAATATACCTACCTTATCATATGAGCACTATTATGGTAAATCATTTAAGCTAGCAGACATTGTATGTGCCATACTACAATTACCATCACTAAGTTGTTTTTTATTGTCTGTTATGGCAAGAAAAATTTTAAAGAAAATTTAAAATCTAAGGCTTCATTCTTAGAAAAGACATACTACCAAGTTTAGTATTTTTTAAAAATATTTTTTATTGAGTTTTTTTTTTAGAGAGAGAGGAAGGGAGAAGTAGAAAGATATAGAAACATCCATCGGCCACCTCCTGCATGCCCCCTACTGGGGATTGAGCCTGTAACCCGGGGATGTGCCCTGACTGGGAATAGAACCCATGACCTCTTGGCGCATGGGTCAACACTCAACTACTGAGCCACACTGGCTGGGCCCAAGTTTAGTATTTTTAATTCAAAACAAGATTCATTTCAATCAGAGTGGCCTTTTGTGAATGGCAGCACAATTTTAAAAAGAAAGTCCTTCTATACTTCCTAATAACTGCTTATATAGAGTCACCAGGGGGTTTAACTATGTAAAATTTTAGTGCAAGGATACTAGGAAACAGAAAATGTATATCTCACATTTAATAGTTACAAATAAGTGATTACACCACCAAATGAAAAACTGTGGTCAGAAATAAAACAATAGACTATAATGACATAGTATTGCTCACTAGACTTGTGAACCTGGCCACACCCCCAACTTTTTCGTATCTTTTACAAAATGACATTATATTATCTCTATAATGATTTCTAATTCTAAAATCCTATGATATCCCACAAATATTAATTTCTCAACATAGTATTTTCTAACAAACTTCATTAACATCCTAATTTTTTAACCTGCCCTGAAACACAGTCACTAGATTCAGATTCTACAAGTTCTTTAATCAAGTAGTGTTATTTTGCAAGCAACTTTTATGACTCCTTAAAATTATTTCCAAAAAGAACTCCATTAGCACTATCAGGGTCAACTTACGTCTTTAATGTTCCTGATGTCATAAGTTCGGTCACTAATACAATGCATTTCTTTCCTTTTAATATAGACTCCCAGGAATCATAAAATCGAACTATATTAGGATGTTGGAGACCCTTTAACATCTCTGCTTCTTCCTTAAACCTTTGCTGCTCAGCTTTGGTTAATTTCCGATCCTGGAATGGAGGAACAAATTCCAAATTAAAGTGTAGAAATTCTCATGCACATTTGTAATACCACTCAAATGGTTGCTTTACTTAACTATATTTACTTATATATGTATTTACTTTTGCTTGTCAATTCTTTTCTCAGGACCTATATAATCACTGATATCCTTTGTTAGTGACTTTGACTCCTCCCATACAGCAATGCAGCAGCGGCTACATTTCATAACTATGTTATAGACCCACCTGCATAATAAACCAATACTTTGAAAAACATATCTTGAAAGTTAACTTTTTGTGGTAATCATTTTGCAATATATACATATATCAAATCATTATGTTATACACCTTAAACTTATACATTATTATATATCAATTGTATCTCAATAAAACTGGAAAAATAAATAAAGTGTCCTTTGCTGGAAAAGAAAAACAATATCTAAAAATAAGAAAAGGGCACTGGCAGGAGTGGCTCAGTTGGTTGAGTGTTGTCCCATGCACCAAAAAGTCGCCAGTTCGATTCCCGGTCAGGGCACATACCCAGGTTTTAGGTTCGGGCACTGGGGTTAAGGTATGTACTGGAGGCAGCCAATTTGATATTTCTCTCTCACATTGATGTGTTTTTTTTTTCTCTCTCTCTCTCTCTCTCCCTCTCCCTGCCTCTCTTTCTAAAAAATAATTAAATAAAAACATTTAAAAATTAAAAAAGAGAAAAGGTAATAGTCAAAACAAATAATCAGGAAGTTCCCTTAAGAAATCCCTGAATTTTCCACATCTAAAGGATCTATTATGTCCAAACAGGAATAATCAAATGTTAGACACCTAGACATTTACTCTGGTCAAATATAAGAATTGCTAACATACTTCCAGACAGAAATATAAGGTAACCAACCAATGAAAGGCTTTCAAACAGACTTTGGACCCCTAATCTGCTATATGAAATGCTAGAACTCAAAAGAGCAATTTTTACAGAATTCTTAGGGAGGACTATGACCCTAAAATTCTGAACCCAGACAAGTATCAATCAAGTTTATAATGGAAAAATACACACATTTCCATGAAAACACAGAAAGTATATCATACCACAAACTCTTTCTGAAAACAGTACTCAAAGAATTTCAATTAAGCACTGGCCAAGTAGCTCAGTTGGCTAGAGCATCGTCCCTATACTCCAAGGCTGCGGGTTCAATCCCCAGTCAGGGTACAAATGAGAATCAACCAATGAATGCATAAATAAGTGGAACAACAAATCGATGTTTCTCTCTCTCTAAAAATCAATAAATAAAAATTTTTAGGATTTTTCAATTACATGTGGCTAAATAAAGTTTCTAGAAGAGAAGGGTATGGCATACAATAATAATAAATAAATAGTAAGACATTTCCACTAATGCTTACTTAGAGTTTAACCAAAGTAATCGGGGCTTTTATGGTTGGTAGATTTGAATGAATTTTCTAAACAGTATTAAAATAGAAGATATATACTACAAACAGGACAGTCTGGAATTGAAATTCCAGGTTACTTCATTAAAATATAGTAGACAAAGAAGAATAAAGATTTTTGTCTTCTGCAAAGGGGAACAGGAGAGAAGGGAGTGATGATAGAACTATTTTAAGTTTTGATGTGGACAAAGAAGTAATCAAGTATGCTAGTTAAAATCTATGTATGATTTCCATTTCAAGATAGTTGACAACATATTAATTTCCTTCCTTTCCTAAATCCCACCAAAATGACAAAAGAAACATATAAATAAATCCATAGTAGTGATGGAAATATGAGAAGGGTTCAGACAAAATACTTTTTAAAGATAAAGATATATACCTTGATAGAATTATATTTTTATGAAACTCAAGAAAGTAGAAGAAATGGCAATTGGATAGGAGCAAAAAACTTCTGTTAAAGTTTCTTCGTTAAGACTTCATAATAACCCTTATAAAAGCAGCATACCAGAGCTCTGGCAATTTCATTTTTGGTTACTTTTCACATTACTCTTTGATGTTTATAAGGAAATATGTAAAAGGATATTCAGTGCAGTGTGCTTTGTAATTGTGAAAGATTAGAAACAACAAAAATGTCAACAATAAAGTTTATTATATGCCAGGTACTGTTCATTTCTATACATGTAGTATTTTCACCTAGACAGTTAACCAGTTATGCTAGTAGCACTTAAACTATTCTTTTCACGCTGATTTAAAGAACATGTTTGCTTGGGAAAGCATAATTGCCAATGATATGTCAGATAAGGGGTTAATTTCCAAAATATATAGAGGATTCATACAACTCAACAAAAGGAAGACAAAGAACCCAATTAAAAAATGGGCAGAGGACCTAAATAGATACCTCTCCAAACAGGACATACAAATGGCTAAGAGACATATGAAGAAATGCCCAACATCACTAATCATCAGAGAGATGCAAATTAAAAGAATTATGAGGTATCACCCCACACCTGCCAGAATGGCCGCCATCAACAAATCATCAAACAAGTGTTGGTGAGGATGTGGAGAAAAGGGGACTCTAGTGCACTGCTGGTGGGAATGCAGACTGGTGCAGCCACTATGGAAAACAATATGGTGCTTCCTCAAAATATTAAAAATTGAACTGCCATTTGACCCAGTGATCCCACTTCTAGGAATATACAGTCATCCCTTGCCACTCCACACTTCAACTTTCGCAGCTTCGCTCTATCGCAGTTTCTTCAAATATATTCATTAAAAAGTTGATCAAGACAGTGAAAATGATACAGCATGTGCTAGTTGTCTGAGTCAATTATACACCCCTGTATTACAATTAAAATTAAAATTACTGTACATATGGACTGTAGGCCTATGCATTTGACACCCCCGCAAATCCTTCAATGCCAGGTGCAACTGCTCGACCACTCCTTGTGTGTGGGCAATAACTTTTAAATAAAGAATCCTACTTCGCGGAAATTCATTTATCTTGGTAGAGTCTGGAACTGATAAACTGCGATAAACGAGGGCCAACTATATCCTAAGAAGCCTGAAACACCAATCAGAAAGAATATATGTACCCCAATGATCATAGCAGCACTATTTACAATCGCTAAGATCTGGAAACAGCCCAAGTGTCCATCAATAGATGAGTGGATAAAAAAGCTGTGGTACATATACACAATGGAATTCTATGCAGCCATAAGAAAGAAAGATCTCTTATCCTTTGAAACGACATGGAAGGACCTAGAGGCGAAACAAGCCAATCAGAGAAAGACAAATATCAAATGATCTCACATATCTGTGGAATATAATGAACAAGACAAACTGAGAAACAAAATAGACCCAGAGACATGGAAGTGAGGTGCAGACTGACAAACTGGGTGTGATTCAGTTGATTGAACCACTGTGTCTAAGCAATGGATTTTTTGATATGATACCAAAAGCACACAGTTAAAAGAAAAAAATAGATAAATTGGACTTAATCAAAATTAAAAACTTTTGTGCATCAAAGGCACTATTAAGAAAGTAAAAAAACAATCCACAGAATGGGAGCAAATATTTGCAATTCATACCTGATACTCCCAAACGGATTAATACTTAGAATATATAAAGAACTACTACAACTCAAGAAACAAAAGACAAACAACCCAATTCAACAAGAGGCAAATGACTTGAATAGATATTTCTCCAAGAAGAACTAAAAATGGTCAATAAATACAGAAAAAGAGGTTCAACATCACTAGGCATTAGGAAGATGCAAATCAAAACTATAATGAGATACCACCTCAAATGACTCAGGATGGTTACTAAAAACAACAACTGTTGACAAGGATGTGGAGAATTTGGAACCCTTATATATTACTGGTGGGAATGTAAAATGATGCATTCACTGTGGAAAACAGTATAGCCATTCTTAAAAATTAAACACAGAATTACCATACAATCTAGCAATTCCACTTCTAGGTATATACAAAAAAGAATTAAACTAGACTTGAACAGATATTTGTGCACCAATATTCATAGCAGCATTGTTCACAATAGTCAAAAAGTGGAAATAAAACAAACATCCATTAGTGGATGGATGAAACAAATGTGGTGTATACATATAATAGAATATTGTTCAGACTTAAAAAGGAATAGAATTCTGATACATGCTACAATATGGATGAATCCTGAAAATATTATGCTAAAAATGAAATAACCCAGGCACAAAAGAACAAATATTTTATTAGTCCACTTCCATGAAATACCTAGAATAGGTAAATTCATAGAGACAGAAAGTAGAATAGTGGTTACCAGGAGCTGGAAAGAGTAAGGAATAGGGAGTTATTATTTAATGAGTACAGAGTTTCAGTTTGGGATGATGAAAAAGTTCTGGAGATGGATGGTGGTGATGGTTGTACAACAATGTGAATATACTTAATGCCACTGAATTGTACACTTAAAATGGTTAAGATGGTAAATTATATGTTATGCATATTTGACACAATAAAAAGTTATTTTAAAAAGATTTAAGGAACTCATACAGTATTTGTCTTTGTCTGTTTGACTTATCTCACTTAGCATGCCTTCAAGATCTATCCATGTTGCTACAAATGGCAGTATTTCCTCTTTTCTCATAGCTGAGTAATATTCCTGTGTGTGTGTGTATCACATCTTCTTTATCTTAAGTTTCCATATCTTGACTATTATGCATAATGCCACAAAGAACATAGGTGTGCAGATATCCCTCTGAGATACAAATACTGTATGATATTTACATGCGCAATCTTTAAAAACTGAAATTGTAAAAACAGAGAAGTAGAATAGTGGTTAACCAGGGGCTGGAGAGTGGGGATATTTGGGAGATGTTGTTTAGGGTACAAACTTACAACTAGTAGATAAATAAGTTCTGAGATCTAATGTACCACATAGTGATTATAGTCAATACTGTATTATAAACTTCAAAGTTGCTAAGAAACTAAATCTTAACTGTCCTCCAAAATAAAATGATAATTATGTGACATAATGAAGGTGCTAGCTAATGCTATGGTAGTAATCATACTGCAATAGATAAA